AGCTCTCTATCAGAGGAAAATAGCTAGAGATGAGGAATTAGTAGTCCTTACTAAGGCAGTACTTATTGGAAAGCATACTCAAAAAGAAGGAAGGAAGAAGGGAAAGAAGGGAGGGAGGAAGGAAGTACTGATTACAGTCGAGCTTAGAGAATTAAGGGACTAGAAGGCGTCTGTTCCCAAAACTAGAGATGGGATGGGAGAGGAGATACTCACTCCGACTAGACATAGCCAAGTCTTGATGTAGAAGGTGAACAGATAGAGGAATGTAATTTATTTTGAGATGAAGGAATGACTATCTTGGAGTAGATGCCAGCCAAACTGGTGTGCTATATATTCTCCCCAAACTTATCTTGTTTTGCTGTGTCCGTAATGGGATGCACTGAGCAGTATTGCTGCCAATTGAAATACTACCTATCTTTAAAGGATCAGCTCAAATGATACCTCGTACATGAACAAATGAACGAAAATTTATGAAGTGCCAAGCACTATGCTAAGTGCTGGCCACAAATAGAAAAAATGTGAGATAGTCACTGCTCTCAAGGAATTTACACTTTAATTTCCAGACTATCACCAATCTGAAATAATTTCTTCCTTTGAATTTTCATAACAGTTGTACCTTTTTTTTGCTCTTACTAAATTCTATTTTGTATAATAATTATTTGTGCTCATTGTGTCTTATTTCCCCTAAGACATCTCAAGTTCCTTGAGATTAAGGATGAAGTCCTAGCCGGTATGTCCCATAGTGCATACTGTCTATAGCATACAGTATGAGTTCAATGAATTTTGTGGAATGATTGACTGTTCTTAACTTGTTTTTAAAGAATAGCATGTAAGAGACAATTTAGAATATAAATCCTTATTGGAGTCTATATGTAGTAAGTTTATTGCTTTGCCTTAATTATTTTTATATTTATTAGTGCCTTTTACAAAGGAAAAGATAAAGCAAGAGCAAACATACAGATATTCCCTTCCACTCTCCAGCTCCCATAACCAAAAGGGGGCATAGTCTCCTCTTCCACCTCAGTCTCTTCAGAGGGGAAGGGAATTATGTCTATAGTTTAACTAAATTCTTACATATGATAGTCTCAGCAAATTCTAGGTCCAAAGCCACCCTGGCTTGCTTCCCAGCACCCAGGTTTCCCAGAGCTTCCTTGCTAAACTGGCAGCAACACCTAGCCTGGATTCTGGCTCTAAGGTCACCAGATTTTGTCCTTGTTCTTTATTTAGCAGGTCTATTGCACTGCCAGTGGTGATCTATTTTCAGAAGGCTCAGTGTATGGAAACTCTACATTACAAGTGAGATTCACTATGGAATCCAACTGTGATATAAAAGATGTGTCTAAATTTGCTGTGAGAGAGACAGAGAAAGGGAGAGACACAGAGAGACAGAGAAGAGAGATGGACACAGAGAGAGACTGACAAACAGAGAGAGATTGGTTCATGTATGGCCTATCAAGTAGGAGGATGTTATTCAAAACATAACAGGTTCACAGGTGTTTTCATGATGATGTTCACTTTTCAGAAGTAATAGAGGAATGCGGGGAACATTAAGTAAATGATAACTGTAGTCTAATCTACTTCTTATCACATACAGTTCCAGGAAAAAGTAAAGAATCATAACATTTTAGAATTGGAAACTTTAGAGATTATCAAGTCCAAACTTCTCATTTTATAGAAGGCCAAACCGTTAACTTCATTCCTGTTTTGACTTGTTCAAACGTTGTGTGAATCTTGTGCTAATATGAAGGCCTGTCAGAGCAAGGTGCAGTGCAGCTAGTGTTTGATCATGCAATGTGCCGATGGCAATAGAGAATTGATTTGAACTTTGGATTGGATTGGATTTGGATTGGAATTCATTTTGCCAAACCACATTCCCACTTTGGAGATCCACATGTGAACATCAGGAGGAAGGCATGTTTTAAGAGAATGGAAGGATACTTGAGATATTAAATTAAATCTTAGACTTGCAACAAATCTCACTTTTGTCACTCTTTGGTAGCAGTGTCCTATGTAGCTACTTAGAAATTCTCAAAAGAGTGTTGAGAACACTAATCTAATAAAAATGTTATGAATACCTGTTTTATTGAAAACTAAATACTAAACATCAATAATGATGCTTGTTTGAAATTCTTCTAGGTCTGTCAATAGGTTGGGTTTTTAGGCATGGAGAAGAGATTAGAGTTAGGATTGTGTCTTTTGGGCCAAGAGATACTGCTGGCTGAATATGTAAGTGAAGGAAGGAGCTAGGATTTTCTAATTGGGTGGAATGCTTGGTATGGGAGGTCCTTCCACCGCTCACATGCATAGTGAATAAGATCCAGAAAATTACCTGAGAATCACAGCGGTTAAATGATTTGCCTAGGCATCATACAGCTAGTAGTAAAGGTGGATTTTAACTCAGTTCTTCAGTCTCTAAACCTATAACTCAATTTGGTATGTCATTCTTGTCTTCTGATAGAATAGAGCTCAGGAAAATAGAAACCCATTCAAGAAATGATAAATGAAAGGAAAATTGTTTAGGATATCAAAGAGAAAAAACATATAACTGGGCAGGATGGGCATTTACTATGAAATCTCAGGGAGAAGAGATTTCAAATGAAAATACTGAAATGATTTGTAAAATTGACACAATGTTAAATAAATAAATTTAAGAAAAGTCTCATAGCTTGTGACCTCAAGCTTACTTTACTACAAATTTGCCCTGTAATTTTTATGTAAAATGATTAATCTTTCTATGTGATTTAGTTTCCTACTTATAAAATGGATATCATAATAGCCCCCCTCCCACAAAATTATTAAGATGTATCATTATGTTCATAAACTACTCTAATTATCATTGAAAATTACTCTGTTAGTATAAGGTATAGCAGTTGATTTAGATGTGTGTGTATTATGTTAACAGCTACCTTAGAAAAATCTGTGATTTTTATGTACAGATTCTAGAACATAAATAGGAAATTCACTTGCAAAAATGGTAGAGCTAATTTTGAGTCAACATTTTTACTTCTAGGATCAACCCCATTAAGATTCCTTTTACAATGAAAAACAAATGGTTGGTTGCATATTTAGATCATCAAAAAAAGGAGAGGATTTAGATTTATACATTCAGGCAGTATTTCAATATTACTGTGAAATTCATAACATGAATTTTAAATCAGAACACCAAATGATATACTTGAGGCAATTAGATCAATATGTAAATGCCTCTCTCTTTCTCTCCCCCTTCCCTCCACACCCCCCTAAAGGCTCACTAATATTGTTTTAGTTTATATACACACACACACACACACATATGCATACATACATATATAGATACAGAAACATTTTTTTTTCTATGAAGGAAGAGAGACTTTTAGCTTAATGCTGTTCCGGACAGTGTTAACTCGTCAACAAATTATGCAAGATTTGCAAGACTATTTACTAATCAATAAAAAATGAGGTTACCATAGTAACTAGCACTTCTCAAACACTACTGTTATATAATCTTTGAGATTCAGAGTTTTTTTGTTTAGACTATTGTGGCAGCTACAGTGATTTCATATACTCTTGCATACTTTGGGCTGCAAAGGGAAAAAAAGTTTTCATATTTAATAACGTGCATTTTCAGTCTATCAGTCTATAATATAGAAATATGTATATTCTACAATAAATTTGTGAAAGCTAAGCAAACATTTATGAAATGCCAAATATGTGTAGAGCATTGTGCTGGTAGAGATACAAAGTTTAGACATGGTTTCTATTCTCAAGTAGCTGATACTCTCGTAGTATAGTAGAAGTATATGACAATGCACAAATATCCAAAATACAACATAATACATATATACCCAGGAGAGAAGCAAACCATTGTTTAAAGTTCAAGAGGAGAAATGTCATTATTGATTGGTATTACCAGCAATGGTTTGAGAAGAGTTAGCGTGTGAGTTTTGCTTCTAAGGATGCTTAGGAATGCAATTAAATGAAGGTGAGATTTGGAAGGCATTACAAGTTTGATAAGAAATATGGGCAAAGGAAGAGGAGTGAGAAAATCTGAGCCATATCTAGGGGATGCTCCAGTCCAAATTGGCTGGAAAAGAAAGTAAGTAGAGGATAGTAATATAAGGTAAGGCTAGAAATGTAGGGTGGCACTAGATTATGGAAGTCCTTGAATGCCAAACGAATGCTCTCAGGTCAATTAGGAACCATCATAGTAAATTGCTTATCTAGCTCTTGTTCTATATACCAAAACTTCAACTGTTTACAGGTCAACCACTAAACTAAACATTGTATCATTTAATAAACAATCTTACTCAGTTAATTTAAAAGAAAACATAAGTAAAAAGACTACAAATAGTTGGTCTGATTATTTTCCCTAACAGATCCAGCCCCAAATGATAGTTCTAACAAAAAGCAGTTGTGGAACAGGACTTCATAACTAGGACATCGAGCACAGTGAGGTATAGTAGATGGAACACTAGCCTGGGAGTCAATAGACTTGGGTTTTCCCCCCTGTTTTCATATTAATTTCCTTTTTCTTTAAATAGGTTTTAATTGATATCTTCTGTTTTTTTACTTCATCACACAGTATCCCTCTCCCTGTCCCTTTCAGATAGTCATTTTAACAATTAAAAAAAAGAAAAAGAAAAAAATCAGCACACCTGATCAATGTGTTGAAAAAGTTTGAAAACATATGCAATGTGCAACAATGTGGATTCTTTGCTTCAGAAGGGAGTGAGTTTCAGTTGAATTTCACTCTCATATTTTTTTCATTCAAGTCATGTTTAATCTCTACAATTTTGTTAAATTCACTTTTGAATTTTTCTGTATGTTGTTCTTTTAATTTATATTATTACAGTCATTGTGTGTACTATTTTCTTGACTCTACTTTCTTTACTCTGCATCAGTTCATGTGGATCTTTCTGTGCTTCTTTGTATTCACCAAATTCATCATTTCTTTTAGTACAGTAATATTCCATCATGTTCATGGTTCACAGTTTGTTTAGCCATTCCCCAATTGATGGGCACCTACTTTGTTTCCAATTCCTTGCTGCCATGAAAACGTTACTATAAATATTCTGGTATGTATGGAGTTTTTTTTTTCTTACCAGCGACATTCTTGAGGTATAAATCCAATATCAGAGCCTTGTTAGGAGGCTTTAAGCATTGTAGTCACTTTATTTGCATAATTCCAAAGTGCTTTTCAAAATAATTGTACCATTTCATGGTTCTACCAACAATGAATTAGTGTGCTTATTTCACAACCCTTCCAATATTGACTATTGAAATTTTTTTTGGTCTTACACTAACTTTCTATATGACCTTGGAAAAGTAGATTTATCTCTTGGACTCTTAGTTTCCTCACATAGAAGGTGGGGAAGTTGAACTTCTGGTCTCTAAGGTTTCTTATGGTTCTGAGATTCTAATATAAGTGAGGACTAGATTAGACCAGAGGAATGAAGAATAGGGAAGGCTAAAAGGAAGAAGCAAACCATCTGGGAGTATCCTCATGCACTTCTTTGCAATGTACCTTCCGGATCCACCAGTTCAACCCCCAAATAACTGATTTGGTGTGCTTCATAGACATGACCTATATAATTCCAAAAGGTAGAAAGAGAACATACACTTGCAAAAGATCAGAAACTACTGAAAAAGTACAAAAAATTGGTTGATCATTAGGTGCGTCCTAACAGTTTTCTGTTTTGACCATCCCAACTTGTCAACATAGATTACAAAGCACTGAGAAAAAAGGCAGAGAAAAAGTGATTTATTGGCATCCTGCTATTCAATGATAACAAAGAAATTATATTCACTGTAAGGTGAAATTTATATCCATTATTTTCCACGCATCAGATTGAGTTCTTTCCAGTTTTTGTAAAAACTGCAGGAATAATGATGTAATTTAATTTAAAATATATAATAAAATACTATTAGATTTTCAACAGTGATTCTCGCTACATTGCTTATAAGGTACATACCGGAATGATATGCAACTTCTAAATTCAACAAGAAATTATCGTAGAACTGGGCCTGATACAGGGGAGGACTAGGGAAGACTTGGGGTATGGAGGACAGGGATCCTAAGAGTGGAATAGAACCTGGGAAAATGAGGGGTGTGTGTGTGTGTGTGTGTCTGTCTGTCTGTCTGTATGACAGAGGGAGAGAGGTCATATATACACACATATACAGACACACATACACATACATAGATGTGTGCATATATATGTGTGTATATGTGTGTGTATACACACATACACACACACACACATATAAATGCATTTATTTACACTGGCACATAAGCCAAGACCAATAAAAGGTAGAATTTTTAAAAATTGTCTTCTGAAAGAGGTTTTTCTCAATAATTCACTCAGAAATAGCAATATTTCCTATGTAGGAATTAAGTAGTACATAGGAATTGGTGAATATTCACAAAGTAGTTCCCTGTTTTTATTATTCGATAAGCCACCAGGGGGAAGTCACACATTACTTTATGGTGGGCTTTTGAAAAATTTCTTCAGACCTTTTCTTATAAAGAGCTATCTAGAAAATAAATAATTTGAGACACAGTGCCTCTAGTTAGGGTCTCACAAGTCCTCTAGTCTCTTTTTAAAAATAATACAGTCATACACTGGAATTCCTTGCTTTATCTGGTTTTTTAAAAAATGAAACAGTCTACTAACATGGGTAAAAAGTAAGGACTGTGTTATTGATGCTTCCTAATTGCCAAGTTTTTTTGTGACATCAGAAGTTTAATAGAATAGAATCTATTCCACATCATGAAAAGCAAGGAAACTTCAACTATTCATGGTATTCAACATTAAAAACAATGTCTCCTAACACTGTTGTGTATATCTTCTGCTCTTTTGCAGCAGATGAAGGTCTGAATATGAAAAGACCAGAGACAGGAATATTCTGAAATTCGAAGAGAGAATCAAAGAATGTCTCTTTGCCAAAAACAAATAGTCTTCACTTTGGACATACTATGATCATTGTTTCTAAGAATATAAGAACTGATTGACTTAATTTGCAAGTTTATTGTAGACAAACAACAATATAAAGATTACATGGCTAATAATGGAATCATCTGATTCAAGACATTATGCAGTTTGGAGAGGCACAGAAGGACAGTATCATTGTATTTTGTGTTTCTAACTCTGTACTAAGTTGATGATTTCTACTGTTACATTACCAATTGTCCATTATTCATATTGTGAAATTGGAGTGTCTGCATTTTATGTTATTGTACTGTATTTGTTTACTACAGCTGGTTGCAATTGTCTGAAAAGACAATTCTACAAATTCCTGGAAAAAAAGTAACAAAAAAGGAAACATCTTACTTTGTAGCAAGCATAATCTGCAAGAAGGAACAAGACCTCTAAGGTATGAAGATGGGAACCAAACTGACTAAATTTGGATTTATCCATTTAAAATTTTTTGATGATTTCCTCAAAGATAATAGTTCAGTGTGATTAAATTTTTTTTTAGAACTCAAGCCATCATCGTAGTAATCTGGGGCTTTAAGAAAGTGTTCCAACCAAAATGTGATGATTCCTAATGATTACAAATAGAAACAAAAGTACAACAGAAAAATGACCCTGGCAAAGAGGACCTCTACAGCAAAGGATCCCTATGAAATGAGATGCAGATCAGCACTTTAAAAAAAAGGTTGGAGGAAAACATAACAGTATGCTTTATTTATTCTGCTGAAATGCTTAACAAGACAAACTCAAAACCTTTTTCTAGGGAAAGTAACACATTTTCCTTTGTCTATACACATATACAATGTCATTCCCAACAAAATTTAATGCCTAATGCAGAAGTTTGTACATTTGCAAATGAGGCTTAACCTTTCTGTTTATTTATATGCAGGACAGGCTTGCATGCAAGCAGGAAAATTGATTCAGAGCTTAAAAACAACGAAGTTAATTAATACCCCTCCCCCAAAACAACAAAAAAACTTTCAGCAAGTTGAAAAAAGGCAAATAAATTAATGAACAATTTAATTAATGAAACAATCTATTAGGTGAACTCAGTAGAAGTTTTAAGATTTATTTCATTGCTTTCAAACTCCTGGTTCTGAATTCAATAAAATATTTTTTAAAAATTAATTTTACGCTTTAATAGCTTGAATGAAGCTCCCCCCCCAAAAAAAAACCCTTCACTGTAGGCAGAGCCTGTTTGTTGTGTTGCAGATTCTTAAATCTTTTGAAAATGTTCTGGTTTCTATGCAGAGGGTAAGTTTCTGGAGGAAAGAAGGTGGTGGTAAGGAGAAAGAGGAAGATAGAGATGGAGAGAGATGCAAAAAAATCTACAGAGAGAGAGAAGAAACAGAAAAATAGAGACATTGAGAAGAAGAGGAGAGACAGAGATGGAGACATAGATGAAGAGAGATAGAGACAGAGACACAAAGAAGATGATTGCTAGAACAAGGTCATACCTGTCTAATGTTAAAGTAACACTTAATCTCCATGATAAAATGTCACTTGTAAAGTTTGTGAGCATGTATCTAATTTGTAGTACCACTTGGGAACCATTTCAAGAGAAAGCCATTATTTGGTGTTCCAAGGAAGATATACATTCATAGGCCTCAGCAGGTGAGAGTTTTTTCAGTAATGGTCAGAGGAATAAGAAATAAATAGTGGTGATTAGTGACTTTTTATTGAGGGGCATTGAGGTGGCTACTTGTTGACTTGACAAACACTTGAAGGATATGTTATATTCCCAAGGTATGTATGTATTCCCAAATTTGACTTCAATGATTTCCCTGAAATTTGGTGAGTTGGGCCTTAACACTGGAATTTAGGTCTGGAAGAGTATACTGTATTCAAAGGAATATAATTGACAAAAGACACAATGAAGGAACATTGTATATTAAGAAGATTGTGGTGAAACCTAGGACCTGTGTATTGTTATAGTGAGAATTTGGTTAAAGATTAAAATGGACAAAAAGTGTTATAGTCTTTACTACCTGGGAAGAAGGATGAATTAGGAGGAGAGTTTGGGTAATAAGCCCAACCTTCACCTCGAGGCATGATGTTCTAGTGTCAACTCTGGTCACAAATGACCAAAAAGTCACAGAGGTTTCACAACCATTGTTGACTCCAAAAATACCAAAGAGCTCACCCAGGTTAAAAGCAAAAAACTTTCTTTATTCAAATGGGGGAGAGAAGTGAGACATGTGTTGGGGCCTCCTCTAGTAGGAGACCTGAGGCAGTGGGATGAAATCTTGATTTATATATTTGTGGCTAGATAAATGTAGCAACAGTGGTGAGGCATAACAGCAACAGTGAGGCAAGGTTGTCTAGTGAGGAAAATCAGGTCTGTGATTTAGTTGCAACAAAGTTCATCCAGAGCACACAGACTGTTGCTGAGCCAAGTTCAGGGCACAGCTTGCTTGCTGGGCCTTAGCTCTGGAAAATAGGGTGTCTAAAAAGAGAGGTGGTTTTGGTTCCTGACATTTCTCCTTTTTGGCCAAGGAGAGGGTGGGTCTTAAAGCACTTTTGGCCAATAAAGGAGAGGCAGGTTTAAGTCAAGATGCCATGAAAGGCCAGTTGGACCAAGACAAGATGTTGAGTTAAGGGGCAGCTGTGGGAGCTTAGGGGTTAAGGTGACAGATCTAGTAATTTGTTAGCCCCTCTCCCTTAGCAATGATGGAGTGGCATTTTTATCCCAGGAAATCAGCTCCTTGAGAGCACCTATTGGGGGAGTGTGTCTCAAGTATCATTGAGAAACTCCCAATAGGGAAACAGAGCCTTGGTGGTTGGGCATGTAACAAAAAAGAAGAGGAAGAAAGTTAGGACAGTATACTCAGCCCTCGTCCAGAATCTTGGGACAGCTGTCTCAACTGGGTGTCAGCTGCTTTTGGGACCAAACTATAGCCCAAACTGAATCCCAGAATTCAATTCAATAGACGTTTCTTAACCACTTACAATATACAAGAACATGTGCCAGGCATTGGCTAGGCTAGGTAGTACAATGGACAGAGCTCTGAGTCTCAGTTCAAGAAGACTTGAATTCAAACGTAATCTCAAAAGCTTACTAGCTATATCACCCTGGGCAAGTAACTTAACCTCTGTTTGCCCAAGTTTCTTCATCTGTAAAATGGGGATAACAATAGCATGTACGTCCCAAGGTTGCTGTGAGGATCAAATGAAATGATTGTAAATAAACTCAGTGCAGTTCCTGGAACGTAGTAAGTACTATAAAAATGTTAGTTATTATTATTACAAAGACAAAAACATAAATCCATTCCATTAAAGAGCTTCCATTTGACATCTGCTTTAGCTGAGACTAGTGACAAAGACAACAGAAAGGGATGGTTAAGAAGCTATGTTGGGGACAAAGAATGAGAGGATAGGACTGTTTAGGGTGGGTGTGATGATTGATAACAGATGTGACAGTGAGAAGGCTAAATTACTCAATTCTTATTTTACATTTGTTTTCTTATTCAGCTCTTTAAATTGGGAAGGATAGAAAAAAATGATTAACATTTAGGTGAAGCATCAGGTGAGAAAGAAGATAATGAGAAAAGCTGACAAATTTTACTGTTCTCAATGAATTCCAGTCACCAAACTTAGAGGAATAAGTCTTTAGGGAACTGAAAGGACTTAAATATCACTGAGCTTATGTCTGTGATCTTTGAGACATCTTAAAGAAAGATCTTAATTAAAAAAAAAAAGAGGTGACCCAAGGCTGGAAAAAGGCCAGGGATGCCTTGATTTGCAAGGAAAGAAAAGAGGATGGTATCTGGAAGCTATAGGTCACGGTTCTTTTTTTTTTTTTTGGCTTCTTTTCCTGGCAAAATTATAGACAAACTTATGAATTGTAAACATAAATTTTGTAAAATTTAAACTTATAAATGTAAAATAGAAACTTCTAAATTTTGTAACATAATAATTTAATACAGATGAGAAACTGAAAGTCACAGAGGTTAAATGATAGTCCAGTGCTATAGTAAATGATTTTATAATAAATTTTATAATCACAATGGGGATGTACTACTAGGCAACATTTTTTGGTGAAAAAAAAAACTGTGAGTTTTAGTGGACCAGACGCTTAACACATTACTGTTAGTGTGGTGTGGTAGACTGAAAAGCAAATGCTATTATGGATTTTATCAAGAGAAGCCCAGAATAAGGAAGATAGTTTTGTTTGATATGACCACCCTGGGAGTACTTTGTACAGTTCTGAATGTTACATTGTACAAAGTCTATAAATAAACTAGAACATGGACAGAAAAGCTTAATCAGGAATGGTTAAAACTGGAAATTGTCCCATGGAGGTGTCAGTAGAAGGAACTGGGGATGTTTTTCTGGCAGAAGGGAAGACTTACCAGGGAGTGGAGGGACAACAATAGCTACCTAGTATTTGAAAGACTGCTCTGTGGAAGAGGGTTTAAACTTGCTCTGCTTGGCCCTGGACTAGGAATAACAGGCAAAAATTTGCAGAGAGGCAAATGTGAGGGAAAACTCCCTGGTAATTAATGGAAGGGGCTGTCTCAGGAATTGTTGTACTCCCCTTTCCCAAAGATTTTTGAGAAACATTGGAGGGTCATTTGTTGAAGATATTGCAGAAGTATGAATAGGAATTGTCTTGGAGGTGCCTTCCAGCGTCAGAGAGTAAAGATAAATTTTACCTTAGTGTTTGGCATTTATCTTTTCAATGAATTTAATATGCAAATAAACATAATAGATAAAAATTCACTATTTTTAAATTGAATTTTCTTTTTGTTATGAATTTAACAAATATGAACATTTCAATATACAAAGGACGGAAAAAGAGAATTGTATAGCAAACTGTTACTACATATTGTTGTTTGAAAAGGTATATATCTGTGTGCAGACATATACACACATGCATGTATATAATATACTACATATACACACATGTGTATATATGTATATATACATATATATTTATATATACTTTCCCAACTCTAATTCTAGTGCCTTCCCTCTATTAATTATTTCCTGTATATTCTATATATTTAAAATTTCTTTGTAGATATTTGTTTTCATGTTGTCTCCCTTAGATTGTAAGCTTCTGGAGGGCTGGGACTATATTTTGCCTCTTTTTGTATCCCTAGCACTTAGTATAGTGCCTGGCACACAGTAGTCACTTAACGTTTATTGATTGATTGATTGATACATGCATATACACATATATAAATACACACATCTATATATTTTAAACTACCCTGTTTGTTTTTGTGTCTTTCCAAACTTCCTTCTGCTCTCATCTGCAATATTCACTGTTAAATAATGTATCAAGTAGGGAAATAATTTACTTGATTATTTATGTTTATTTTCAGGTCGCCTTCCTTAAGTTTCCTCTTTTCCCTAGCATCAGTCTACCCCATTCAAAACTGCTTCTGGAACCACAGGTGGGGCCATATTCTTATAGGCATTAATAGTGTTAATACTACCCCAATGCATAGCCTGCTAGCATCTAGAAAAATATCATAAGCTTAATACAAAATTCTTTGTTTTTCTTCATATAATTTCAATGCTGAATATATGTAATTATGGCTTACTAAGTTTCAGATAAAAACACATTTATTTTGGAAACTCATTTGAATCAGTCTAGTCTAAAAGTCCAAGATCTAGTTGGTCAGAATCCATGTCCAAGTTTAATTGTGTAGCTTTTCTCTTACATTTATGTGGTAGCACTACTGAAAAATTACAAAAGTCATTTAGAATTATTTCTTACTTGGCACCCTATATGAACTCGGTGGAAGTGTGAAAAATGTATGATTGTTCTAATAATTCTTCCAAAGACATAAGAAATACCATTGTGGCCTCAGCAAGTAATTTTAATGTTATCCCAGAGCTGAGAACTTTATGTGCAATGAAGACTTGCTAACCATACCCTTAAGTAGCCGCTAAAATCCGTACTGGCTTCATGTGCTAGGCAAAGTAACCAAGAGGGACAGCTATTTTATTTCTGACCTATAGTCATTTGGCTACTCTTCACTATTCCTTTAAAACTTTCACTACTTAGAGATTGATGATGCATTTAAACTCAAGTG